GGCAGGGCATTTTGTGCCAGTCGTGACATTGTTTCTCTCTGTAAGTTAATAAACGAAGGTACAAATAGAAACTTTTAGATTATGCTGTGCTCATTGATATTCAACTCGGGGAAGTATAATACAGGTTTTCTCTTTTGACAAAGGACCCTATTCGTAGTTGCCAATTCATAAAGTAATAATGGTTTAGTAGATTATGAGATTATTTCTGATTGTTCAACTCAACTCTACACTATGTTACCATAACACGCTGTGACTAAAAAATCAGACCATTGTTCATGTACAAGTTGGGAACTTCTAGAGGATTGTTCTAACTAGTGTAATAATGAACTTAGAATTGGACAATTCGAAATAGTGGCCAGGTCATCGTGGTGGTTCTTGATAATCGCTGAGAACTGCACTCGAAAGAAGCGCATTAATTATTGTTATTCTAAATAGTGGAGTGACACTTTTTGACGCAATCATCAATGTCAAGGGCTTCCTAAATTTGGTTGGTGCTAGCTGCTCTTTGACACCATTGCCACTGCTGTTGGAATATTAAACCAGATCACCGGTTCATCAGCCCACGTTCTCTAGCCCAAATCAGACTCACATTGTTCACCAGTCCAACAGCAGCACCAGCAACCCACGTTCTACAGCAAGACCACCAGTTCATCAGTTAACTCAGCCTCTAGTTCACCAGCAAACCAGCAACTGCAAGCACCAGCTGATCAGTTCAATAACCAGAACACGTTCAACAACAGAATTCAGCTCCTTCTTCCAGCTTATTCTAGCTCCTTCTAGTTACTTCCTTAGTTTGTTATCTTGTTAGTTTGTTAGATAATTGGTTAGCTATTTTTCCTATAAATAGAATAGATTGCCTTGTAATATCCTTAAGCAAGATTGAATGAGAGTTAATCTTCTTCCCTGCTATTCAGCAGGTTTATCTATCCGGTTTCTATCTCTGTTAATTTTCGTTCATTTTCCTGTCTTCTATTTTTCAGCTCCTTTTATTTCAGCTGGTCTCTGTTAGTTTAGTTCCAATAATTTCCAGCTTGAATCTCCTTTCTTCCTTGATTTTATCAACTGCTACAGCTTTGACCTGGAAGTACGTCTAGATACTTTTGACCCTCCAATTGCAGTTTTCTTGGTAGTTATTTTATTCTGAATCTGTGTGCATTTAGGTTAAGTTTCGTGAACTTGAAGCTAAGTTGGTTGCAATTAATGCAAATGGCGAGAACTTACAGTGCTCATACAATGAGTTACCGGACTACAATCAGGGCCGGAGCCAGAAAATGATGTTAGGATAAGTTGAAACTTAAAAAATTTCAAATAAACTCACGCCACAAAAAATCGAGTTTCGCAGGTTATTCTCGTGACATTCACGATAAAAAGTATATGGAACTCAATGAAATAAAAAAAGTTTAGATGTCACATTAAAGTTCACGAAATAAGCAAAAATTACTTAACGAGTACTCTTCTACTACTTTGACTACCAATCTTTCCAAACAACTGAAAGTTTGAT